GGGGGGGTGTCTCCTCGGGGGAGGGGGGGGTGGTCCCGGTACCGCCGCCCCCACGGGCAAAAGTTGCCGCCGGTGCTGGGAGCGGTGCGCGTCGCGCTCCCCCTTGTCGCCTCCCGGTCCCCCCCCCGAGGGCACTGGACACGCACACACGCAGGGAGCCGGGGCTGACGCGGAGATCCCGGAGGTTCCTCCGGGCTTTCACACACACACACACACACTCACACTCCGCGCCCCCGCCGCCCTCCCCGGCCCGGCCCGGCCCCGCCGCGCCCCGTCGGGGAAACTCACCGGCACCGCCGCGCATCCTGCCCGCCGCGGCGGGAACTTTTTATGCCGGGCGGCAGCCGGAGCGGCGGCGGCGGCAGCAACAGCAGCAGAAAAGCCAGAGCCCCCCTCCTCCGCCGCCACCGCCGCCGCTGGAAGTGGGCGGGGGAGGAAATACGAGGAGGAGGCGCCTCGTCCTCTCCGCCGCGGCGCCCCTTTTTTGGCCCGGGCCGCGGGGTTTTTGCCGGTGGGGGCCCCCGGGCCGTGGCGTGGCGTGGTGTGGCGGCTGGTTCGTCTGTATCAGCTGTGCGTGGGTGTATGTGTGTGTGTCCGTGTGTGTGTCTGTCCATGCCTCCCCTTCCACCCTCCACCCCCCCCGAAAAAAAGAAAGAGAAGGAGGGGGGCCTGGGCTGGGCTTTGTGGCGCTGAGGAGGAGGTGGGGGGCTTGTGCATTTTAATTTTTGTTTTAAAATCCAAAGTCCCTGACAAAAAGGTGTTGGCAGCTTTTCACGGCCACGCAGGTTTTCCATCCTTTTTTTTTTTTTTTTTTTTTTGTGTTGGCTTTCGGAGCCAGCACGTGATGGCTTTAGCAAATAAACCCAATTAAATATTGCTGTTCTTCCGCCTCCCCTGCCCGCACTCCCCTGGCAGCCCTGGTGCTTGGCTGTGAGCTCTGTGGCCACCCTACCTCCTTCCCTTAGAAGTTGAGTGGCCAGACCAGACCCTGCCTTAAGAGAATGTGACCACCGCTTCCTGAGACTTTGAGCTTTTCATGGTGCCTTCTTTCAAACCCCATTTAATCACGCTGGGCTTTTGTAAGACAGATGAGTACTCTCATCCCCGCTTCACCAGGGAGAAACTAAGGCAAGAAGATGCAGAGTAGCTCAGTGAAGAGCTGTATACGGACAGGAGACCTCTTCTGTCTGAGCTTTTGGCCACAGGCACTGTCTCTGGGCTATTTTACCTCTTGACTCCACTTAAATTATAGCTTAAAAACGTTTATGGCTTACAATGGTGGCAGGTTCTCCGCTGTGGGTAACCTGTCCTGCCTCCTGCCTGGAGGCAACGGGAGCGTTGCACTACACAGAGGACAAAAGTCAGTGGGCGACCTGCCTTCACCCTGCTGGATACTCTGCAACCTGGTGCTTCAGTGAGAGACTGTATTTATCACAGCATTAGAGATTTCTGAAAAGTCAGACCCTCAAAGAGTGTCTTCAAGGAGAAATGTTGTACTACTTCTCCAGTTAGACAAGGACATGATTATTTATATATTTTTTTATTTTGTTTTTGTTAGAGACCGTGCTTGTCTTCCCCCTCTGGTTTTCAGACTTGGGGCTCTGACTTGCTAAAGAGCAGTGCTGCTGTCAGCCTGGACACCTGGATGTGAATGTGACCCTGCAGATGCCATCAGTTTATATTAGTGTATCAAGTTGTGAGAAACTGACAGAAAAACAGGATGTCACAAACCTGAGATCGAGTGACTTCTGAAACTAGGTCTGGACCTCTACTTGTGCTGGTCAGCTGTCCCCAAGAGCCTGTCCCACCGGCCCTTGCAATACGTGGCATATGGGTCCTTCCTCTCCTACTCATTGTCAGAAAGCTTCAGGTTGTTGTCACCAGAGTCATCAGGGAGGAAGCATCGGATGCTGGCCCTTCCTCACGAGACGCCTCAGAAAACAGGACCCACCACAGCTTCTGCTGAAGGAAGTCCTAGATCACCCATCTCCTTGCAAGGACCTGAACAAGTTCAAAGTAGGAGCTCCAACGTGCAGGCTGAAACGAAGGATAATAGTGAACCCCCTGGAGCCAGTGGGAAACTGTTCTTTTACTAAAAGTAGTCAAACAGCATCTCACCCAGCAGCAGGAAAATGCAGCCCTCTCCCCACATGGATACCCACAGGAATAGAATAGGTGCCCTTGCTCTGCCAACAAGCACAAGTGTCTTTACCAGAATGACTCAATGAGGTGTCAAAGAGGAGACAGGTCCCCAGGGAGGCTTGGGGCACGTGGGATGGTGCCAGCTGATCCACGCCTGAAGATAAAACCAGCCATCTCAAAGGCAGCTTGGGTCAGAAGACAAAATGCAGAAGTGAAAGTCTGGCCCAGCGAGGTTATTCCCACGGGCATTGGGAAAAGCAGCCGAGGAGGCAGCTGTGAGCTGGTGACACTCCTCAGCCAGCTCACCTCGAGTGAGCAGAGCTAGGGGCCAAAGAACCACCTCCAGCCCAGCTCGGTGTTGCTCCAGCAGCTCCCCTACCTGCTCCAGCAAGGAGCAAATACAGTCCCGAGGGCAGCCTTGGGAAAGCTTGGAAGGGATGGTGACACCACACCAGGCTGTTTGTCTCGGGCAGACCGCTTCATCTTTTTTTTTCTGTCTGTTTTTGCATCAGCAAAAAGGAAGAGCATTCCCACTCAGCCAAGTACTTTCCCCAAAGTACTGCGGATGATTGCTAGTAGGAGGCATATAGTAATCTTCTCAAACCTGCAAATGAGTGAAATTCTTTAAAAGTTTTCAGCGAGACCTCAATAGGCACGTTGAAAAAAATCCTTCATGGCAGAATTTAGATACTTCTAAAATTTCACCTAAAAGGAGCCCTACAGGTTGCAGATGCCCTTTAAATGACTGTATGTATATCTGAACAAGGAAGATTATCAAGGCTTTTTTCTTTCTTAAACTCCACTGCATTTTTAGGAGGACACCGATTTTTAAACATCCTCTAGATTTACGCTCAAAACCCCTACGCTCAGAAACTAGTATTCTTAATGGCTCACAGGTATTTTATGTATAAATATATACACATGCACACATTAGGCTCTCAAGAAACCATGATACATTAGGTACTTTTAAATAATTCATTGTTAAGCACCCCATGATAAATCTCTAGTTGAACAGTATGTGATTTTGCTAGAATTCTTGGTATATATTGAATGTGAAGCACTGTGGTAAATTCAACTACGCTGAGCATCAAATGTGAAAATTTTATATTGTACATTACATCCTGACACGCAACTAAGAATCTTTGTTATTAAGGCTTCAGGGAATTTTTGAGGGAACTTCTGAAGTTCTGAAAAGGAAGGAAAAAACCCCAAGACTGAGCTCTATTTCTCTACAGAAGTTGAGATTTTTCTCAGAGAAGGGAAATTCCTTAAGTAGTCTGTGTTGAATTAACATAGAGGTTTCGCTAAGAGAACTGCTGCCTGCGAGCTGGTGCTCTGAGGCTCCTCGTTTGGTGCTCTTCAGATGAGAAGTCAGAGGATCTTGGCTTACCTGCTACCAGCCAAGGCTCAGAGCGTTTCCAGGGCTCGTCGCTGCTGCAGCGGGTCTGGAGAGATAGGGCAGCAACCGCTGCTGCCAGGGGAGGTCATTTTTCTCCCCTTTTCTCCATCAGTAGCTGTCACCCCAGATACTCAGGGCTCTCCCTTGTCAGCAGCGGCCAGGCGCTTTCCTGGAGACAGGCGAAGGCGACACCAGGGACCTGGCCACGTGCTGCTCCCCCACAGCCTGCTGCTCCCAGCAAGGAGCTGGTCCCAGTTGGGACACTTTACATGGCAGTATCCTGTATCTCCTCCCCTCACGGGGTGTCCAAAAGGGGGACATCCCTTAGTCTGCTCAGTCAGATCAGTTCCTTCTGATTTGGGGAAACTGGCATTACATAATGGAAACATGTTCCATCGAAGAATTTTTGGCCAGCCTTACTTTTTACTTACATATATATACGCTGCAGTTCTGTGGGGTGGTCACTGGTGTGGACCCCTGTGGCCAAGGAAAGGTGCAAATCTGTCCAGCTTCAGGTTAATCAAGTGATATAGGGCACAATTCACTGACAGAGCTTCACCTTTTGTCCAGGTATAGTTAACCAGACATTTCAATGAACTTCATGATCACTAATACTATATCTAGACATTTACACCATGTTCATCAATGGTATCAGAGCATCTCAGGCAAGAATATCTGCTATGCTAAAAACCGTTTTGGTGACTATCTGTCCTTCTCCCTCCTTGGAAGAGCTCCAGTTGCTGTGGTGCTCCCCCAGGGGTAATGAGAGAGGAGCTTTTCCCACAACAGCTCCTCCAGGCAGGGGAAGCAATTCTCACCCTACCTAAACCACCACCACAGCCTGACGTCAGCCTTCTTTCCTCCCAGCACACAGGACCTCACATCTCTTGTCACAGGACAAGAGATCAGACAAGAGACTGGCCACAGAGCAAAGCACTCGCTGAGGAGAATGCCTTCTGGCAGAGTCCCCTCAAGGTCTCCTTTGGTTCTGCAAGCTCTGGCAAGACTCGTGCCATGCCCACACCACCCGCAGCATCCTCCCTGCAGAGACACACGACGAAGCCAAGAGCGAGAGACTCATCCTCAGCACTTCACAGCCCGGCTGCACTCCCTGCCCGGCCAAACCTTCCATCATGGCATGCTGAGAAGAAAAAAAGAAAGAAGTGAAAACCAGACTGGTTAAACCACGAGGCAGCCCCAGTGGCTGGCATATGGTGTGCCCGTGCTGTTGCTGACCCACGCTGAGGAAGACGAGGAGCAGGCTGGACCACCGCTGTGTGGTGAATGCCTTGTACTCAGCACACCCCATGCCCAGCAGGGCTTTGTGGGATGGAGCTTTTCCCACAACAGCTCCTCCAGGCAGGGGAAGCAATTCTCACTCTACCTAAACCACCACCACAGCCTGACGTCAGCCTTCTTTCCTCCCAGCTCACAGGACCTCACGTCTCTTGTCACAGGACAAGAGATCAGACAAGAGACTGGCCACAGAGCAAAGCACTCGCCGAGGAGAATGCCTTCTGGCAGAGTCCCCTCAAGGTCTCCTTTGGTTCTGCAAGCTCTGGCAAGACTCGTGCCATGCCCACACCACCCGCAGCATCCTCCCTGCAGAGACACACGACGAAGCCAAGAGCGAGAGACTCATCCTCAGCACTTCACAGCCCGGCTGCACTCCCTGCCCGGCCAAACCTTCCATCATGGCATGCTGAGAAGAAAAAAAGAAAGAAGTGAAAACCAGACTGGTTAAACCACGAGGCAGCCCCAGTGGCTGGCATATGGTGTGCCCGTGCTGTTGCTGACCCACGCTGAGGAAGACGAGGAGCAGGCTGGACCACCGCTGTGTGGTGAATGCCTCGTACTCAGCACACC